CTATAGTTTACGATCGATAAACCTAGTTTATCAACTGTTAAACTATGTTTATCCAATTTTTGTGAATTTGGTGTGCCATAGATGAAACATGGGTGTACTGTTTATAGCCCAAATGGAAGGTTATAGCACGCCGATTGCGTCAAAATTATTTTCTGCACAACGATCATGATTTTATACACGAGCTTGATGAAAAATATACACGAGTAAAATAAAAATGCACGTATCGGTAAAAATTGCACATAGTTTGAAAGATTTTTACACAAACATAACGAAAAATACACGAATCCGAAATTTTTTACACGATTAAGGGGTATAAAATGCACAAACGTAAAATCAAAAACTGCACGAGCAGAGGAAACTAAAAATTACACAATTTGACTGCGCATACAGCTGCGCATATCATTATTATGCATATAGAATATTCATTGTGTTCTTGGTTTTCTGTACTCTTTATCTCTTCATGAATGCTGGATGTAATCGAGAGAAAATGGCGTTGACGATGATATGCATGTTTGTTTGCTTCTTTATTTCTTTGCTAAAACTCGGTCTGATTTCTAGCTGATGCCAATCGAACGAATGAAGTGTTTTCTTGTGAACTGTGTGAGAAAAAAAATTAAAAGTTGTTCGGAGATATCATATTTTTTTATATTAACCGAGATCCTAGCCAAAATATGGAGGTATTATATGATGCCGGACATAAATTGTGGCAAGAAAGGAATCGCATGTTTGTGTTAATGCGGGGAAAAAAGTACCATTGCATATGATGCACTCGACTCCGAACTAAAAGTAATACATGTAGCAAACTCTAAATTCCTAACGATAAACATATCTTGCTTTTTAAAAAATGATAGAATTATTATTTTTTTAAATATACGCTCTATGGCCTTTTAAAAATCTCTAACTGATAGATACAACTTTAACGGAAAGATACTTGTATAAAATAAAATTAACACATGCATAATAAAACGATTAATAAAGTGGATTCTTCATGAAAATGATGGCAGAATTATTTCTGATTATAATTTAATTTGGTACTTCTCATTTGTACTAATTATGAATTCATTTAGGCAGATTTTTTTTTCATTTAGGAATAGGAAATTATTCAGTATTTTTTTTTATTTTCAAAAAGATTAAAAAGTGGGGATTACCTGAACATAAAAAAATATTTTATTTCTAATTATACGTATCTTTACTTATAAAATATGAGGATATCAGCCTACACTATTATGAATTCCTTCCGTGATATCGCATATTTTCAGTCATAAACTAATCAATAAAAAACAAGACATTCCTAAGGGTAAGCGTTACCCTCATTCGTAATGGCGATTACTTGATGTTTTCACTTTAATAAAAAGGACCAGATAATTAAAGGGAAATATATATATATACTCTATGTGCTGTAGTACATGTGGTTTTGTGTTTTGTTACTTAAAAATAACAAAACTCTACTCAAATAATCCTGGCACTGGTAAAACATATCATCAGTGGCGGATCTGGTTCGTGGATTGATTGGAGTCGCAACATCCGAATCTATGTATTTATTAAAGTTTCAAATCGTTGGACCATAATGACACATCAGAAATTTTAAAAACATAGTGAATTACTAAATACGTCTACGTACAGTGTTACAAATAAGAAAATGGGAATGGATATTATAATAAATAGAAAGAACATAGAATGTGTTTTATCACTCTTGAATAATGCAAATAAATCATGTTCTTTATGGAGCTCGAGGTTTGACAAATATTTTCCAAGATAACAATTTCTCTTTACATTTCGAATTTGTATGCATAAAGTTTTAATTATTTTCCGAACACTCAGTTTTTGTAATAACACTCTTTTACCCAAATCTATAGTCATTATAAAAAGAACATGACTGTATAATTATAAAATGAAAATAATCTTCAATAACATTAAAGGAACATATTTGATACAAGATCCACTTTTTAAAAGATTATTCATGTGCATATCTAACATTTTTGAAAATTCAGATTATGAGTTAAAAAGCCTAATCTATGCAATTTGTATTTTGTACGTATACATGTACAAGTAATTAAATGTTTGCTTTATAACAATATTGTACATGTGTATCAATGGCATCAACCAGGTCTTGTTTTACTTCGAGCATTACTACGAATAAATATAAGAAAACATGTGATGAATATAAACCTCAAGAAATCTTTGTTTTATTACCGTGTGCAAATTTATTATTGTCAAAATCTGCATTGAAAATAAATATGCATGTGTAGCCAAGTCCCAGCTTATTAAGTTCATATTGTATGTCTTCTTGAATTTGGTCTTACAATATCGTTACAGTTCAGTTGAATTTCAATCCTGATTTCCGTAGACTATTATACGTACCCTTAAATTCTTAGAAAATATTTCAGGCACGTAGCATCAGTAGGGCCCCCCGCCCCCCTTTTTTCCAAACATAACCTACTTCTTTTGTAAATGTCCACTGAAAAGCTGGTCCCCCCTTTGCTGTAGGACAGTTTAAATCAAAGTAATTTGGTATTATAATGTGTTTCGAAAAGAAAGTGGAAGCCCCCCCCCCCCCCCCCGAAATAGGATTTTTGAGTTTGGCAGGTAGGCTGTCAAAAAAAAAAAATTCTGGCTGCCCCCACCACTTTCAAAAACGATACTACGTGCCTGTATTTTATAATTTTAAATTTTCTTAACTCCTTTATATGCATTTTAACTATTCAAAATAAACTACCGCCGGTACATTAAAAACAACATAAATTAAGCTTTAATTCACATAAGTAAAGCGACTGTATAATTTTGCTACATTTTCGTGGAGTTTTATGAAATCACCACACGTTGCTCAAAAGTTAAGACTACATGTACTACATGTACTTTATTACATACATATATCAAAAAGTGAGATATGCATTTCAATAATAAAATTTAAGTTGCACAATTATTTGCTCGATTTTCTTTACTGTTGACTCCCAAAAAGTTTTCGGTCAAATTCCACAACCCAGATGATCGCAACATTGCTTCAAAATCTTTGTATGAATTGCTAGTAATATTATCTTTAATCAAAAGGTATTATTGGTGTGTCAAATAGCTATAAATCGATAAGCGTACAGTTGTCTATCGTTCCAGAACCAACAGGGAGGGATCTCTGTATGAAAAGGTCACGTATGCACATCCTTGATTATTACCAAAAGTACAGTAAGTGGGTGGTGGAGGAGAGAAGAGTTTGATTTGTTGTTAACTCTCCTGTGTTATATCACATGTTGTTTTTATTTATTTTTATTTAGGCCTATATGTCATTGTTTTAAACTTTCAAAAGAAATTGCTATACAGAGGAATGACATACTTTAAAAAATCCAACAATTAAACACACAACTGGTTATATGCAACCCCCTTTTTTACGTTATTTATACATGTATTCTGTGTAGAATGTTTTTTTTTTATTCGGGGGTGTTCATATACTACAAGTTTAAGATTGTGTGCCAGTCAATTTATCTACATAATATACGTTGTACATATTCTTGAGAGTCTAACGGAATTTCAAAAGAATCTTTTTTAAAAAGATTACTAACATGTTACTCCTCCTTTTGTATTTATAATATGTTTCAAGCATACAAGCCACATAAAGCTGTTCTCTAATGAATATTAATGACAAGTGCGCAATGAGGATGCGTAGCATATTATGTCGATGTTGTATTCTCACTCGTGCAGTTTTCGTTTTTACGTTTGTGTAATTTCCTCAATATATGGTGTAAATATTTTGTTGATTGTGCAGTTTTTCTATAGTTTGTGTAAATTTCAATAACTTCGTGTATATTTTCCTCACTTTGTGTAAGTTTTTACTTACTCGTGTAATTTTTGTTTAAGGTCGTGCAGAAAATAATTTTGAAGCAATCGGCGTGCCATAGGTCAATAATAAAATGTGGAATCAGACATGAAACTGTTGTCCTATTAATACAAAGAGAAGCAATAGCTCCAAACAGGAGATATATATATATATATATTAGGGATGTCAACGAGTACCCGGTTAACCGGGTATTCGATCGAACGTCCGAGTATCGAATACTAAAAATGGTACTCGGTTACTCGGATGCGTATTTTTTCTTATTTCAAAGTACATATTTTTGTCAAAAACTTTTCAAAAATTAACTTAAATATGCACACGATAATTAGCGTGTCGTCATCAACACCTGTTAAACACCCGTTATCGCCTGTGGCTGTGTACATACAGTAATTATTCACCAATCCAATCACCTGGTACACAGCTGTTCTCACCTACTGTGGCCCTTAATTTTTGGATGGCTTCAATGATTGTTTTCAGTGAACATCCAACAAATGAAATGATACTAGACTAGCGATACCAACAACGTCCGTTCCTTCTCTTTCGCTAGTCTTATCATCACAAACTTACATTTACGTAACAGATTGTACTAGCTCCTTTTGCGTTTGATCCTAAATAAGAACTGTAAACCATTTCTAATTTTTTATGTATTAATTGTGTCTTTTGTGTTTATTTGATAAATAAATTTAGTACCAAATGATCATTTCCGTTGGAGTCTATGTTTATAGACATTTATAAACATGATAAAAACAGCTTTGGGGTTAAACAGAGCTTAACGGGGCTCAAGAAAATTAACACACTTGTATTTACATTTTTTTACCGAGTACCCGGGTACTCGATCGGAAAAACGTCCGAGTAACCGATTATCAAAAATCGACCGATTTGACATCCCTAATATATATATATATATATATATATATATATATATATATATATATATATATATATATATATATATATATATATATATATATACTGTATGCCACTTCGTTTTACAACTTGTGTTGTCATTTTTTTCTTCTTTTTTTTTAAATATATATATATATATATATATATATATATATATATATATATATATATATATATATATATATATATATATATATATATATATACGTTTTTCCCCCTTTTTATTCGAGAGATCAAGTAATACATGTACCTACATACAAACGAAGGACCATCAATGGTAACTTTTTTTTTAATTAAAATTGTATTAAGGAAAGATAAGCAGGGTTTTTTTTAATAAGAGAAGTTCAAATACCGGTACCCAGGGTGATTTTCTTGTAGTTGACATGCTGCTGTATATACAATGTAGGCTAGGAAGAAAGAAACGTTTACATAACTTAGCTTTCCCTCAGTCATTAAGACATTTTTTTTTATTAAAAAACTTATGAAAACCACCAAAAGAATACGCTACTACTATTTTAGATATGTCGTGGGGAGTGCTTTTGGGTTACCCCAAAAAGAGTATGCTTAGGCGTCCCGGTTATAGGTAAAGAGACTTGACATGTGTAGTGGTTAACAGGAAATACTGTGAAGGATTAGATATATTTTAAAAAACTGCTTTTGTACTTTCTTATTTTTGGTGATTTTTTGCATTACTTCTTTAATGGTAATCGTAAGAACATTTGGTAGGACTAAAATTGGACTCATTACAATTACATCTGATGGGTAAAAAAATGCATGCATTAAAACATGTATATGACTGGGTCAGATATTGATATTTGTTTAAATAAGCTGGAGGGGAAGGGGGGCAATTCCAGTAGGACTCTGCATCTAAGCTAAATGGTGCCCTGGGCATACACAATTACAGTACAATGTTTGATAAAATTTGTTATTAAGTCCATTTAAAATTGCAAAGCTTATGCCAATTTTGAAGTAATATTTGCTTGCTTTCTCCCTACCCAGGATGAAAAAATTGGGTCAGTAGGTAAGTGGGACTTTTTTTCCGAGAAAATTTCAACATCAATGCTGAATTTTCAAAATACTTTTTTCCAGAAGGCATGAAAAATAATTGCTTCCTGGAAGTTAAAAAAAGTTTTGAGTCGGACCATTTTAGCCAGTCGGTCCGAAGAGGGCAACCAAACTTTTTTTTTAAAAGATGACTTTAGGGAGTTGAGGATAATTAGTAATAAAAAACTATCTTCCCACAGAGGGAACAAGCATATGACTTCCAGTTGAAGATAAAATGGCCTGCATTGTTCCTCGATTCTTTCGGACAATGGCTTTTGCCTCCTTTGAAGTTGCCCTAGGTGGCAGACGTGGAGACCGATGAGCTTTGCTGCCTTCATACATCAGTCTGTCCATGCGTCCTCCTTTGTCCAAATTTGCAATTTCTTCCCCTTCTGGCTTGACTCTTGGCGGATTAGGTATATCACATGGATTATTTCCATATTTCTGCAATATACTGCTCATGCACCCACCTTGATGCTTCTCTGCAATTTCTTCTGCTTCAGGTTTAACACGAGGTGGCATGCGATTTGACAAAGGAGTACCAAATCTTTGTAAATTTTTCATCATCTCTGCACCCTCCCTGTTTGCTGTTGTAGAGGCCTCTGATTTTACTCTCGGTACCTTTCTCCCTGATTGGGGGATTTTACTGGGATCATGCATAAGGTTACGCATAAATTCTCCTGAACTTTTCTTGGCAGTTTCTGTTGCTTCAGGTTTAACTCTCGGCTCTTTACGAGCGGAAGCAGGTAGCCTTCCATGATTACTAAATAGTTCACTAGTGGATTTTCCTTTATGGTGTTCAGCAATATTTTCCGCTTCTGGTTTCACTCTGGGACACAGAGCATATTCTGGCTGGGATGTAGCTGATCCATTCAAAAGACAAGACACAGTGCCATTCTTTCCATGTTCGTGATTTCTCTTGCCTTCTTCCGTCTGACATCGTGTCTCACTCCTTGAAGTTTGTGGAATAGGTTTAGGTGTTCCACTTCCAAAGAGATTGAGAGAACCTTTATTTTTGTTGGCAAACTCTTCAGCTTCTGGCCTCACTCTGGGTGCCTTCCGGGGAGTGTAGTAGTTGTTGGTCTCATCGAACCCTGGATATGGACCAGAGGGCATGAGATCTTTCTTGTCAAACAGCATATCTGAAAGAAAAATAAAATCCTTTTATCAATATCCTATAAATATGTAATTCACTGAGGGAATAACTGTTTTCTCGTCTGTTATTTGCGACCGTCAATGGGGATTTAAAAGTCGCATATTGAGTTTTACAAGTATCGAGTCAGCAGATAATAAACAGAAAGATCGTTATTATTCCCTCGCAACGGAGTTTGGGGGGATACAGTGACGCGCTTGTGGGTGAGTGGGTTAGTTTTTCTGTGTGTTACAGAAGTGTAAATGTTGAGTTGTGTGCAATCAGGTTCAGAATTCTTCTTTCACCACTTCGAACAATGAAGGGAAGAAGAAATAAAAGAAAATTAAACAAAATCTTTAGTGTTTATGTGGCATGTTTGCATAAGTATAACGGAATTTATTCAATCATGTAAACAATAGCTTCTTATCGATAGATAATCATTGAAATAAATTTACGTTTCCATGATTATTCTAGGTACTTTTCAACCATGTTTTGTTTGTTGTTTGACGTCCCTCTCGAAAATTTTTCACTCATATGGAGATGCCACCACTTGTCGATGGAGGGTTGCAAATTTATACCTATGCTTCGCACTCAGGGCCATTGAGCAGAGAGGGATCTTTAACGTGCCAACACCTACAGCGACAAACCTTGGTTTATACAGTCTCATCCAAATGACTTGTCTCCATGTCCCGCATTTTAATCATGTACACATGCACTTCTCACCAGCTCCAGTACAATTACTATATTAAGCTACGTAGCTTGAATTCGAAGTCACCAGTTACAGATTTACGTTTCCACGATTACATGCATTCTTGGAACTTTTCCTCCATGTGAACATTTAATTCTCAACAGCACTTGAACAATCACTTTATATAGCTTGAATTACCAACATGCAGTAAAGTCGCCAATTACGGGTCGTCTTAGCCTCTGGTCACTCGTACACATTTTACACAATATTGTTTAAATTAAAGCACAGAAAAAATAATAAATACACTGGTTAGGAAAAATTTTTTCTGTCTGTAATCAATAACAACATTTTGAAAATTTACATTAACAGAGCATCAGGAAAAGAAACTTATGAAACATTCATTGAAGACAGAAATGTTTGCAGTTCTTTCATGACTACTTTCATTTTTGTTGCCGTCACGGTGGCTCAGTCGGTAGAGCACTCGCTCAGTGATCGGGGGGTCGTGTGTTTGAATCACGGTCGCAACTGGCCTAAGTCGATAACAAAATAGGTAGCACCTGTTCCTTCGACAAGCGCTCTGCACTTTGAAGTGAAAATTGTGCGTCGTTCGGATTAGACCTTAAAAAATGATGCACGATAAAGAACCCTCACTGCTCAATGGCCCGACGTGCTGAGTAGAGGTCTAAATTTGAAGTCCTCCATCGGTAAATGGTGACGTCTCTATATGGATGAAAAATTCTTGAATGGGGCGTTAAACAATATTCAATCAATTATAATCAATTTTTGTTCACGGCTTGGGGTAAAAAGCTGGGTGGAGTGGAGCGGAGCAGAGTTATGTGGAGTCTTGTATTGTAACAGCACATAAAGTTTGAAAAACAGATTCCTCTACATACAATCTCTCCCTTGCAATGTTATCCTGGATTTGTAAAAAAAAAATGATATAGGAAACGAAATCGATGTAACCAAAAAAGCTAGTGACCTTTGAATGTCACACAGATCGACGATTACCTACTTTTTTTATAACAAAGACTTAGTGGTATGACCCTGCACTCTTATCCCAGACAGACAAACCAAATAAGAGGTGTAAGAGACAGCTTTAAAATCCAAAAGATAAAATGTGCGGATCTAGAGGAGGGGAGTCAGGACCCCCCCCCCCCGCCCCTGGAATTTGCAGAGATATAAAAAGTATATACTGAAGGAAAATAAAAAATGACTCTCGACGCCCCCTAGAAAACCATCACCACCATGAAATAGGTGTTTTTCATGTTTGGAACATGGATTTTACCTTTTTTTGGGACTGGGATGGACCCCCCCCCCCTTCCCCGAAAAAAATTCTGGATCCGCCCCTGGATAAATAGCAAACTATTCTACTGAGGACTTAATTATAAAGATACTCATGATACTTGTTGGCAAATAAAACCTATCACTGGGTTGTAGTTTGGCTGACGCTTGTTAGGCCTTTGTTTTTATAGTTAATTTGACTACGGAATATTCTGTCTACCTGGTCAATACTTAGGGCTCACAGCGGGTGTGACCAGTTGACAGAAGATGCTTACTCCTATAGCTAATGCCTGTGATCACTCAGAATGTTGAAAACTCACTGATTTCAGAATAAATGTTATTGGCAGTCAGAAGCTAGTTCATGTTATATGAGCTATATTGACAATGGAGTGAATCAGTAAATAAAAAAATCATGACCTTCAAATGTCAACAACAATAGGAATAGCTTGTTTGTTTGTCTTTTTGTTTTGGGTAACAGAGACTGGGTGACCAGCATGCACTCCCACCCCAACAGGCGAGAAGTCTTGACAGATTTAAATACTGCGTTAGAGATACTTACTCAGTTGTTGCTTGTGAAAACAAAATTCAAATTTGCTTTAAAATGACTTTAATCAAATGTAACTAGGTTTGATTTTGTCAACAGAAAAGAATCTAGAATACAGCTAGTTTACAAGTTGGTATCAATTAATCAGAATCAGGAATTACAGTTAAAATACAATCAACACACAATCACTTTTTTCAACTTTCGACAGTGCAGGGCCATATACATGGTACCAAATATAATATTCATCATTCATCAATGTCCACTGGGTTATAATTTTATTAATTATAAGATTCCTGAGATAGGCTGTAAATCCTAAGCCAGTGATTTTTTTTTTTTTTTTGAGTATTGGCAATCATATGAGAAAGTTTTATCCCCAAGGAATATGCAGTCTTCAGGGTCAGGAAATCTTGGAGCAAAGGAGGAGTTTCGATAAGGCTGTTTTTCGGCCCCTCACGAAATTTTATGAAATTTTGATATTTTGTAGAAAAACTCCTTATCTTCCTAAAAATATGAACATAATTTATGTTACGCATTTTCCGGTCACGTGATAATTGAAAATTTAAGTATACCCCCTTTCGTTTATTTTCGGAGTAAAAATTTTTTATAGGGGGAAAGTGGATTTTTTTAACCCTCAAAATCGTAAATGGAATAGGATAAATATAGAATAAGACATAAATTAATCAAATTCAACAATTTTTTTACGGAACATGGTATTTATCTTATGCGAATTTTTTTTAAAGGTGTGATATTTTTCTGGTGTGTTAAATGTTACTTTTCTTTAAAAGAGGATGAATTGAACTTATAAAACGTAAACACATATAGAGAGTTTTAACATCATAATTAATCGACAGTTTATACATATACGAGGGTTGTCAAAATAGTTCGTGGACAAATGCATAATTTTCTTAATAAAGTCCGCAAAGGCAAACGTGTACAATAATATTTTAAAATAGACCATGACCTAGTAATTATATAATCAAAGGCCTGAAGGCCTGAGAGGCGCATCGCATTGAAGACAGAAAACTAAACAAATAAAATCTCAGTAAAATTCAACTTACATGTTGAGGGAAAATCAAGAATAAAAATAAAATCTAAAATATCTTTTCTTTGAGGTTAAAATACGTTTTGAGTCTTGGCATTTTTAGCCAGTCGATTGGGAGAGTTCAAACAAACATTTTTTTTTAAAGATAGTCTGATATATCATTTATAATTCATTGATATTTAAATTTAATCTATAATTGCATGAATGCAATTATAAATTAATTTAAATACCAATGAATTATAATTGATGTTTTTAATTATATTTTTTTGTTTTTATTCTCTCGTTATTATCATAGGAGGAAGATGAAATAATGAATGAGAATTTAGAAAGGAATGATTATTGAATAATTCTATATAATATCATATCTGAATTTTTAAAAAAAATTTCTTTCATTATGTGCACTTTTTTAATATCGATACTTTGTCTTAGACTAGTTTTCTCAATCAAAATGGCATAATACGTAAACCATAGTGGGATACACGAAATGTTCATATAAATACATGTACATGTAATACGTGAGTAAAAAAAAAAAACAATCGGGCGTGATATACCGTATATTATGAAACCCGTCAATGGCGTCCGATTTCCTCCGATATTTTCGATAAAATTGGCTCTATAAAACCTTGGCAGTAGGGATTGAACTCAAAAAGTCTATGTTTATAAGGTATTAGTAATCCTATAAATTGAAATCCACAGACATTGCAGTTTTTTTTTTTTTATCTTTCATTAAATCATATTCAACCGACATTTCACTAAAAACCGATCATTTCACCATTTCATGTCACCCTCGTGGATTTTTTCCCCGAAAGGTGGCGCTAGTTGCAAACATTTATTCATTTGGAAATCTTACTATTCGTTTCATCGAGTGAAAAAATAATAGTATCCCTTCTATTTCTATATAAACAAGAGGCCCAAGGGCCTTAACGGTCACCTGAGTATAATACAACAATTTAGAGGATCCATAGAGTATAAAATGAACTGAAAGGTGAAGGTTTGTTGCCCAAAAGCAAGAAAAATAGGGTGATCAGGATTAACAAAATAATTAGTCTAGTATTCATTAACAGTTCATAAATTAGGTTCTAATCTGTTCCCCATTTATCACTCTCACCAGACAGTATATTAAGAAACTATCAGTGCTTCTGTACTCTTTTAATTCCTTGTGGAAATCTCTTACACTGGCCTGAGTAAGACTCTTGGTCTTTGATGAAAATTTAAGGTTCTGGTATTCCATCCCTAATAGCCTCAGATTCAATGAATTTGAATACATAACAGATGTGTACGGGTGGAATACTCAGTATATTTAGACATAATCTACATTTATTACTATTAGCATGTAAGAATGGAAGTGTCCTAATTTATGACTTGACCTTTGTTGAAGAGTTATCTCCCTCTTTTTTTAAGTAATAAAAATCAATTTTAAAAAAATATATGGTAAAAAAATTGTTTTCAATTGTCA